GGGATTTCTTGGGGGCCTTTTACAAAGATTGATTTAATTAAATTTCGTGAGCATTATATTATGCATGATATTATTATTATTGATATTGGATGTTGAAGTGTTGTTAATGATCTATATTATTTTATTAATATTGACATGATCATATGTTATCGGTGATGGCTGGAATTCTTGGGTTGATGGAAAATAGGGTAATGGAAATAGTCTTCTGTGTAGTTGAGTCTAACTCTTGGCAGGTACCAGGTCTCAGGGATCCCACAGTGCACATGATTTTTATTGGGTGATTCGGGACTGGCGAAAGGGAGTTAGACAAGATGACTAACAAAAGGGGAAATTATGGGACGGTTGAAATGGGTGTTCATATAAATGGGCATTCGGGACCAAGTGGTATAAGCATGGTATGGGACGTGCAGGTCTGCTTGTCCAGTTATATGAATTAACGGGATTAGATGAAGAGCATTCATTCATGCATTAATATTATTAATATGATATTTTGTTGTGTGATTGCATGTCACTTAATTTATTTATATCAATTTCCTGTGGTAAGGTATCATGTCCCTATTGAGCGGTGGTTGCTCATCCCTCACCATGTTTAATTTTTCAGATGAATTAGTGGGCAAGACAAGGACTAAACCAGTTCAGGCTAAATTAGATGAGAGTGATAGAGCTTTATTTATTTATTGTAAAGTTGTAAGATTTTTGGGAGCTATTTTTATAAGAAAAGTTTATTTTATGTTTCGGCTTCCTTTTTATTTATTTTTATTTTTATTTTTATTTTTTTTTCTCACACACCGGGCGCGGGGTTTCCGCCTACCCCTGGGTCCGGGGCGTGACACAATTGGTCTACATCATCTTTGAGGATTTGATGATGGACATCGCAAAGGAGTAGTGTGATTAGATTGCATGCATGGACTGCTTTGATCTTGATTATTTGTTCATTCTTTCCTCATGATTTCTGTACTCGATACATTAATTATTGTTTCCTGACCACCAATATATATATATATATATATATATATAAGTTATTGTTTACAGAAAATTTGAACTCATAAGATAAATCCGGCCCTTTTTCTTTCTTTTCCTATAATTTACAAAACCAGGTATAGCTATTGGCAAACATATATAATTAATTTCCCTAATTAATTAACGTGGTTAAGTGGGCAATTATAAACTTTTTTTTTAGTACAAGCGATAATCTAAACTAGAGGGGAGGGATATTTCTCACACACACATATAAATGATATCATGGAGGTTCAAATTTGAGATCTCTTGTCTACAAATCAATGCCTTTTTTAATTGAGCTAGAACATGTTGACGGGCAGTTATAAACTTAAAACTTAAGCAACACGCTAAGTTTCCAATACCAATCTCATTTTTTGATTGGACTGATTGGAACCGCCACCATGAGCCCTGCTGCAAGTCTTGTCCAGCAGAAAATCAGGCTGTTCGTCAAAAAATTAGGCAAAGGTTTCCATTCCAAGAAAGCGTACAAAAACTTGGAGCACGCCTCGGAGAGCTCCAAGAATATGCATAAGGATGGAGATCAAGTTCAGGTTCCAGAAGGTTATGTGGCTGTGTACGTGGGGGAAGAGCGAAGAAAGTATAAAGTTTCTTTGAAGTGTCTCTCTTGTCCAGGTTTCCAAGAACTGATCATTGAGTCGCTGCCGGATGTGTTGGATGTCAAGATTGAAGGGCCTACACTACAAGAAAAATAACTTATGACAACATGTAATCAACAACGTGCATTCATATGCGTTGTGGAACAATATTTTTAACAATCCGCAAAAGCAGCATGTTGTATTATACAATTTATAACAACGTGCGTGTATAGCGTGTTGTCAAAATATAGAATAGAGCGATCCCAGACGCTTGCGAATAGAGCAGACTTTGTTGGGAGAGGTCCCCGCTTTGCGCCCGACAGTACCTCGAGGGTTAGTCCCCGCAATCGCGCGGGAATACTTTGGTTTTCACCCAAAAAAAAAAAAAAATATATATATATAGAATAGAGCTATTTTCAGAACCCGGCCTTGCATGTTGTATTAGTTTTAAGTTCTACAACGCACGAAGCGTGTTGTCAAAATTATATTAATTTATTAAATAAATAAAAAATTGGCCCCGCATGCGCATGCGCATCCTCTCTCTCTTTCTTTCTCTTTCTATTTCTCTCTCTCTTTTTCTTCTCTCTTTTTTCTTCTTCTTTTCTCTTCTCCCTGTACCGCCGACAGTCTCTCTCTT